ATCTGTGCCAGTCTTTACCAATTAGGGAGTTTTTCACAAAATGCTCAAAGAAAGAGTCCTACCCAAGAACCTCGGTAGCAGAGCACCCTGGTTTCCTTGCACATTACTGCAAGACAAAACAAAAACAGAGAAAAAAATAAAGAAGAAAGATGTTGTTTGAAATAGGTTAACCATCATGTTTTCAGGGCTTTGCATGAGGACAATGTGGCTCCTGAACAGGAACTCATGTGCTCTTTCAATTCTGCATGGTGTGTTGGCATGGATTCCATGACATGTGCCTAAAGCCTGAGACCCAGAGTTGGCAGGGGAGTTCCACTTGCCATCACATTTCCATTTGGGTTCCTACCACCCAGTAGAGGGCAGTGGTTCCACTCCACTTTGGAGAGCAGGAGACTAAGTGTGACCACACTGGCAAAGACACCTCTTCTGTTGGATTCTACATTCCATGTGCATGGTCCTAAGGCATTGCCCCCAGAAAAGCAGCCCCTTCTGGTGGCATGGAATCCTCAACCTTTTAGGCAGTCACCTCTCCCCCATACTCAGGGGCCTCTATCTCACCTCCTCTGGAATGATCAGTGTATGTTCTCGCCCAGGAGACCCATGTGCTCTTCTGGAGTCTCTCCCATGTAAGCTACACAGTGTTGGTGGTGGCACAGCCTTGGAAATGAATTGAGCAAGCAACTTGATATCACACAATGTAAAACTTTATTACCACACTTTTTAACACAACAATCTCAACTTTGAAAAGTTATAGCGAAATAACCATAACAACAAGAATGATAGAACCTTAAACAACTAAACAAAACTCAAACCAAACCAGATAGTAAATAAATAAACGAACAATCAAATAAATAAATAAAGGAAGGAAGGAAGTAACTAAATAACTAAAGGAAATAAATAAATAAATAAATACTTTTTCCTTTTCCAGGTGCTGGTGTGCAAGGCCAGGCCTAGGTGTAGCCACTGGGAGAAGGAGGTACAAGAGCCATCACCTGGGTGAAAAGCTGCAAGCAGTGGGAAGCCTGAGTCTTTGCCCCTGGAGGACTGATGGTGAATGGAATCTGTTTGTAATTCTCTTGACCCTGACTTTTCTTGAAAATCAGCAGGATCAAGACCAGGGATTGAGCCTAGTAAAAGGGTTGGCCCTAGATTAGGGAGAAGACCCCATGTTAGTCTTACACAATTTATTCTGACAGCCCTTTCAATTATTTGCACAGGCCAATTAGACCTTCCACTTGGGAACCAGGGGATTAACCTTCCTTTTTCAGGAAAAGTCCTGCTGGTCCCACACCATTGCCTCAGCCACTTCTTTCTGCTCTCAAATGCACTGTCTATGGGACCCTACATTGTTTGTTGTTCCTTTTCTCCCAGGCTGTGTGCACATGTGCCTGAAGTATTGTCAGTCTCATCTCTCCTGGATCTTGGATTTGGAGTCTTGCCATACCCAAAACCCACAGGCAGGACTCCGTCTCTCATCATTGAAGTGGAAAATAAGTTAGCAAAACATGTACTGACTCTTATCTAGATTTGTCCTTCATAACTCTTTTGGAGATTCTGAAATGCTCACTGTTTATATTCAGATTATTCTCCTAGGGTTTCCAGATGGGAGCTGGGCCAATACATAATTCTGTTTTTACTTTGAAAATTGACTTGTCATTCTATCTGCAGTTTTGAGTTGTGTTATTTCAGAGTATATTTTTCATTTGTGCTCTGTTCCTTTTTTCCTATTATTTTGTGATGAACAACAACCAAAAAAATAGCCCGGTAGCCAATGGTCATGTTGTTCACCTTAAACCAATCACAGGAACAAGAGGGGTGAAGTCTCATGGGAAGGACAATAGGAATATTAGGGGAGCCATCAATGGAGTGAACCAGGATATCAAACAGGACTTTAATAAGTATACATGTTAGAAAGAGTTCTTTTCTCATTGCTCTGGCTCCTAAATTATCTCAGTGAATGGCTTCCAACTCAAAACTATCTTTCCTGATTATTTCTTTTATACTCATTAAATCACACTTGAACTCTAAGAGGGATTCCAGAATACCTATTTGTATCTCAGTGAGAAAATTAGTATTGCAGTGGTCAGGATGACTTTGGGAGAAGGAGAAAACTTATTATCAATGAAAGGTAGAACTTAGTAATTAGATTTAATGCAAAAATGATGGATCCACAAGAATCAAATCACAGAAAGATGAAGGGATAAAGCAATAAATAAATAAGAAAGAAAGAAAGAAAGAAAGAAAGAAAGAAAGAAAGAAAGAAAGAAAGAAAGAAAGAAAAAGAGAGAGAGAGAAAGAAAGAAAGAAAAAACACCAACTTGGGCCTGGGAAACATTGAAACAAACAATAGAAATATAAAACTACAAAAAGTGAGAAATTGATTTTTGAGAGCAAAGAATTATGGGAAGAAGTGAGACTCCAGGGGAGAGAGTAGGAAAGCAGAAAATGCAGTGGAGTTTGGTCTGAATTCCTCCTGTGTTACAGGAGTAAACCTCCTTTGTTCTGAGAGAATTTCTAAGGTCTGTGCTGGCTCTCACATTATTATTTTTTTTTCCATTTGAAGCTTGTTTTGTTCATAGTCTGACTTTACAGTCCTAAGTCCCTAGGGACTCTGGTTTCCCCAGGTCTTTAGCATTGCAGAGTATCATTGTACATTGTTCTTACAGATGTGACAGAGAAGGGACTCTTTTGGCTCCAAGTAACCCTCTGGTCTCCTGCTGTGAACCCTAATTCACTCCTCAGTGCCTGCTTCTTTCTCAGTTCTTTGGGTGAATTTTTGGCAGAAGTACAAAGATGCCTGCATCCTCTAGGCAGTTACATTTATCAATTGCCTGAAAATTAAGCTCACTTCTGTTGATAAAAAGAGGCACAACTAAATGGGAATGTTATGCTTTCTTTGTTATCCATTATGTTATTTTATTTTTTTGGCGGTGCTGGAAATTAAACCCAAGGCTTTGGGCATGCTAGTCAAGTGCAGTAATACTTGTTTACACTGTGTCCTTTTAAAAATGTTATTGTGAGATAGGGACTTGCTATGTGTCCCAGGCTGTCCTCCACTATGCAATTCTCCTGCCTAAGTCTTTTGAGTGACTGAGATTACGTGTGCACAACACCATGCCCCACATGATTCATTATTTTAGACAATTTTGTCCATTCTTCTAGGTTAATTTTGCCTATGCTGAGTTAAATTTCCCATATTACGATCATAACTATCTCAGTCAGCTCAGGTTCTCTCAAGAAAATGCCAATTGAGTAGCTTCAAAACAAAAATATATTATCTCACAATTCTGGAAGCTGGAAATTTCCAATGAGGATGATAGTAGCTTGTCTGTTGAGGGTCTCTCTCTTCTGGCTTGCAAACAGAACCCGGTCACTATGTCCTCACATGGTAGATAGAGAGAAAGGTGATAGAGGAGATGAGTCATCAGTTGTTTGCTTCTCTTACTTTTTTTTATTTTTGGTAGTAGAAAAAAACAGAGTCTCTTAAGAGGGGGGCAGCTGCCCTACTACTAAGAATCATCCCAAATCCAAGATAGAGGAGTTTGATTCAGTTTAGCCTCAAAATCAGAATAAAAATTAAGATGTGTGAAGAACTGAAGGGATGCAAAAGAATAGATCTTGCTTCATGGACATGCCAATCAAAAGGAAGTTTAGGTGTATCTCAGTGAGTTTGCCTAGCATGAGGGAAGCTATAGGATCCATCTCCAGCACTCAAAGAAAAAAAATAAGAACTCATTCTTCCTTTTCTTTCTGAAGAACTTATGATAAATGTGTTCATGGCACAAATGGCAAAAAGTTGTTTGTGTTATAAGAGTACCACTAAAATTCAAGTCTGACCTGCACAAGGATGTAGAGGACAGGATTGCAAAAGAACAACTAGACTTCCTTTACTATTAATCCAATATCTGAATTCTGGGTCAGACTTTTTATCTCTTTGGCACGGACACATTCATGTCCCAGGCTAATTTATCCTAATGTGCTCTTCAAATAGTTTCATAAACACACACACACACACACACACACACACACACACACACACACACACTTATTAATGTTAGATATTGAGCCCAAGGGTGATATAGCAATATACAACACCTCTCTCCCTATAGAATTTTTAATTAACTGGGAATTAAATATACACAAGATTCAGAGAGACTAAAATTATTACTGGATGTGGTGGTCCCCACTGTTGTTCCTAGCACCCCCGGAGGCTGAGACAGGAGAAATTCTGGAGTCCAGGAGCCAACTTAAATAAAACAGGTAGACCCTGCCTCTAAAAACAAACAAAAAGGAAAAAGAAAAGCAAAGTAATCAAAGGAAAGTTCACAGATTTATTGATGGTTGATCTGAATTGTGAATTAGGGCTGAGTGTAAGGATTAACTGTTGCTCCTAGACTGGATCTGACAACCCCTGGGGAGATATTTGATCAATTAGTCCAGAATCAGGGCCCACTTGAGCCTAATGCAGAAGCCAAAGGTGAGGCAGCTGTACCTGAGAAATGCTTCAATGGTCTCATCCTCCCCAGAAAGAAACTCCAATATACAGCGTGGAGAATGATGGTGGGGAGGTAGTTCAGTGGTAGAGCACTTGCCTGGCACTCACAAGACCCTGAGTTCCATCACCAGCATTGTCAGGAAGAAAAAAAGAGATTAAAACTAGATATACTCACTCTTCTAGAGAGAAATCTGTGAGAAGACCACTGTCTTCTGCTTTTCTATTGAAAGGGAGGAGGCAGAGTTAGGCAGTGAAAAAAAAAAAATACAGGGAAAGGGAATGCCCAGCATCGTGGCTTAAGAGACAAAGGGGGCTGAGGTAGCTTCAGCAAGTGAGCAAGACCTCATCTCCAGATGACAATAGAAAAGGCTGAGGATGTAGCTCAGTGGTAAAATGTGCCAGGATTCTTTTCTCATTACTGAAAATAAACACACACACAAAACAACAACAACAACAACCACAACAACAAAAATAACAACAAACAACAAAAACAAATGAAAGAATAAACAAAAACCTGGTTGGGTACATAGAGAGGGAGAAAAAAGGGCCTTATTGGACCTCTATGGAATGTGCTTTCCATCAGAAACAATGTTCTGGGGAGAACACATTGGAGGT